TTCTTAGCCCAGGCAGGTGATTGAGATGCTACATGCTCCAGCCTTTGTCACTAGATGTGTGTGTCTGTGTCTGTGTGTCTCTGTATTAAAAATATATCAGTCTTGTGATGCTCTTAAAAAAGAAAGAAATGGAAGGCGGCGGGGGAGGGAACGGTAATAGTGAAAAAGTTCTTTGACTGTGTCACATTCTTGTGTGGCTTCGGGAAATAAATACACATGTTCAGTTCCAGCACTGACAGCAGCTCGAAGATTTAGAGTTTAAATTTTTTACATTTTTCTGTTTGAGTAGTAAAAAAGGGAAAAAGAAATGAGCTCAAGCAGCGTGCTCCCCCGGAACCAAAACGCAACAAGCAAATGAAAAAAAAAAAGAGGAAACCCCCACAAATTCCTGATCAGACTTCTGCAATTCCCAACTAGTAAAAATAAGAAAACACCTCCTTACAGCAGAGGGGTGCTTGGGAGGAAAGGAGACAAGTCCCTGCGGGAGAGTCTCAGAGATAGCTGAGACATGGTCACCTCACTGAGTGGGGTCAGTGGCTGGGTTTATTGTGTTTTGTTTTATTTGAACACTTGCCATTGTTGCTTTCTTTTCTTTTGTATCATTTTTGGGTGGGTTTTGTCTGTTTGGTTGTCTTTCACGTTGTGATGGGTTTGCCCTTCTCGGCGCCCAGCTGTGAGACCGCCTGGGCAGCGGCAGCCTCCAATGGGCAGCCGTCCCCTCGGGTGAAACCGTGCTTCCAGGACCGGTGTCCAGTGAGGTAATGGAGGAGGGGGTTCCTCCTCCCGGCGGCACCATCCCTCCACCACCTAAAACCCCTTGATGTAGCAATAGGCCTCCAGGGTGGCGAAGAGGATGTACAGCAGCCAGAGGCAGACAAAGAGAAACGTCGTGGCCAGTTTGCCCCCCCGGGGGCCCCCCAGCCCCCCCCCGGGGTGGGGCCGCCGGCGGTAGAGGAGGACGCTGATGCAGATGAAGGCGAAGATGGTGAAGAGGGTGACGGAGAAGGCCAGGGTGCCCGCCGACACCTGGAACTCCTGCCCCTGCGACGCCCAGTAGATTGCTGCCACTGACCATGCTAGCCCGATGCCCAAGAAGACGTTGACGGCGTTGCTGCCTGTGACATTGGTGATGGAGGCATCCGCATACACATCCTGAATGGCTGCGGCTTTGCTGGCAAACGTGTCTGCAGTTGGGGGAGGAGGGAAGGAGAAATCACTGGGGGTCCAACAGGATAAATGGTCAACCCTTCATGTCTGGGGGATAAGGGAGTCTTGCGTGTGGCTCCAACCAGGTTGGGACACAGACCTCTCCTGGTGCACAGCCCCCCTCCTGGGTCCAGGGACCCCATGTTGCCACCAAGTGGGATGCAGACCTTGCCTGGGGACAGGGCTTTGGGGAGCCCCTTCCCAGCCTGAACCCCATCCCATGACAGAGCTGCTCCCTTAGGTTGCAGGAGAGCCACCAGAAGACTTGCATCCCATCCTCGCATCCCATCCTCTCCCCACAGCCACCCCACCTGGTACAGAAGTGCCAAAGGCGACAAAGATGACGGCAGTCACTGAGTCCTTGAGGCCAATGGTGCAGCCGAAGTGGGAGGCAAGGTCACCGATGACGGCTGTGAGCATGCCGATGATGAGGATGGAGACAATGAAGCAGGCCCAGCCATTGCAGTACTCGGTGGGGGGCACACAGGCAAACAACACCTTCCAGAAGACGGTCAGGAAGTGCATCACATAGTCAAAACAGGACGGCAGGCGCTCCTCGCCGGACTCATCCTCATCCTCATCACCTGCTGCAAACAACGTGGAAGAAGAGGTCCAGCGCTCGTAACGGGGCAGGTCAAGATTACAGCGCCCCCCACCCTCTCCCCCGCTAAGGCTCCAGGGATGCTGCTCTCCTGGGACAAGGTGGCACGCTGCCAGCCACGACAGTATGCTCAGGGCACACCAGGCCCCTCAGTGATGGGTGAGGCTTGGTAAGAGGGGTGCCTCCCAGGACACCTCAGAACCTGCAGGGCTTGGGAGTGGCACAGTGGTGTGTTGTACCCACAGAGGGACAGCCCTGTCCCCATCCACAGGCAGTTGCACAGGATGTAGTTGACCTGTGGAGGTCACTGTTGGTGGAGCACCATGAAGTTACTGGTGCCCAATAACTTCATGCCAATATAAGCCCAAAACATATATTTTTGGGGGGTGAAAACCAGCAGAAAGCTATGGAATTGGGAAACTGGAGAGATCTCTTGGTCTTCCTGCTCCACAGTATGGGCTGGGCATCAACAGTGCCCCGGCAAGGAATTTCTCCTCTGTGTGAGGGTATCAGCAGCAGTGCTGCAGGCTCTTGGAGGGGTCCCCTTCTTAGCCTGGGGCAAGGTCGGCCCCAAGGATGGAGGCACTGCCAGTCTTTGTGCAGATACAGGATGATGGAAGAGAAAGCAAGTAGGGAACACAGGGCAGATGGCAAGGGAAGGAGAGAGACATAGGAAGAGAGAAGCAGGCCTGGTTAAAAACACGGACATACTTATAACTGCATGAGTTTGGAAGGCGTGAGCTCTCCCAGGCTCCCCGGACAACAGCTGGCAGGTCTCTGGGCTTTTCCCTCCACCAGCTGCTGCCTCATGGGACAGTATCTCCTGTCCACATGTGGTAACCCTCTCCACCCCCAGAGACTCTGCTGGCCATGGCAGACAGGACATCTTGCAGCAGCAGGAGCTACCTGAACAGGACAATACTAGGCAGGAGCCAGGAGCCCAGTCAGCATGGGAACAGGCTGCCTATACACAGCTCTTCAGACCACTGAAGAAGCAGGAGCACTGCCAGCAAATGTAAAGTCTTTGAAAACTGGCCTTCTGGATGTTTCCACACCAAGAGATGGATCTCCTGGACTCCTGGCTAATGCATCTGCAAAAGTCCAGTGTACCTGGAGCAGAAAAGCTCTTTGGACTGGCTTTGCTGCCGGCCACAATGCACGCAACAGCTGAGCATCACTGACCAGGCAGATCCTGTCTCCTCAGCCTAGACAGATCTCATCTCAGGCTGCATGAACCCTGCAGATGCTGGTGTGGGTTTTCTGATGTCCTCTCACCTGCGCTGACGGTAATGGCCTCCATGAACTGGTCCCTCCAGGAATGTGTCCCTACAACCAAAGCCAGGTTTGTCTTCTTAATCAGCTTGTCCACAGTGTTCTGTTGTGGGAAGAAAGATGTACAGCAATCAAAACAGCTGCTAGTGGGCAAAGCTGATCTTGCAGTCTGCTGCGGTCCCACAAACCCTTCCCAAACTGTGGAAGTGCCACATGCACTCTCCTACTAGTCAGATGAGGCCGTGACTGGAGTTGGGCCAACCCTCTCCCTGGACAGGCTGACTCAAACCTCACCGGTTTGCCACCCCTTAATCCTGATGAGGCTCCTTTCCTCACCCCTCCCTCACAAAGACAGCTTTGTTCCTGCTCTCTCCTGCATACTGGCTGCTTCTGCGTCCAGCAGGTGTCTCTTGTCTTCCTCCCTCCACCTCTGCCTACCACCAGCTACTTCCCCTGGCATTTCTTGTAGGTTTCCCTACCCTTTACTGCATTGTGTACTCCCTTTCCTCTTCCAGCAGCCCTTTTCCCTGCCTCCTCAGTCCTGTTGTCCATGGCTGCTCTTCAGTGCCACATAGCTTTCACCTACTGGAGGACCTCTAGGACAACTACTGACCTTGAACTCATAGGACTCCTCAATGATGACCTCTAGTTTGGGATGCTCGCCGAGTATTGGTTTGCCCATCTCTGCAATCCTCTTGGCTTCCTCCTCTTCAACTGTCAGCTTCCTCTCAGCCACCTCTGTGAAAGCAAGGTCAACACCAAGCTGTAGAGAGCAGCCCTGGAGCACTGGGGCACCTCGGGGGCTTGTCTGCAGGGCATAAGCATTGGCTTCTGCAGCCCCTTCATAACTTGTCAAACTCACATAGCAATTTAGGGGCAGTGGTGGGGTGCTGGACCACAGAAATAAAGGACCGAGATTTTGAAATCTCAGTCACCAAAACCATACAACACACAGTTTTAATTTACTTAAAAAAACCCAAATAACTGTTTCTTCAGCCTGCACTGGTGCTTTTGGATGACATACACCCTCCCAGCATCCCTGCAGCAGCCACATCTTTGGGGAGACTGAGGTACCAATTCATTCTGCCATTTGGCACAGTCGTCCTTTAAGACAGCTTTAATGCCCTGGCATGTTTCCTGGCTTGAATGAACAAGAGACGGGATCTTTTTATTCCCCTTTGATTAGAAGATCACTGTTGGCACCCTGTGCCACTCGGTGCTTGATCTAACGTTCAGACAGACACACACAGTCACAACCACATGAGCACGTTCCTCGTGTTTGGAAAAATGAACAGGAAGAAGTCAGGAAGCAAGTGGGGGTTTTCTTTCACATTACTGCAAGTTTAGTTTCTGCTGGAGGAAACTAAACCAGGACCCCAAATCAGCAGCATGCCGAGAGGACCCTGTGTCAGGCTTATCTTGCTGGTGCCCCAGCAATCCCAGCCTGAGGAGGTTCTGGTTGTGTGGACGGGGAGGAGCACACCAGCTAGCAGGAAGGGTGTCCCCAGCCCTGACCCAGGTCTCCTTTCCCACACACCCAAGTGCAGGAACTTGCCAAAGGTCTCTCTGAAAAGCCTTGACATCTCAAGAAAGAAGCTGGATTTCCCCAGCTTTCCTGTGCCTGACCAGTTGGGGTATATGAGCTGCAACACAGGATCCAGCTGAGCCTGGGAGCAGGAGCTGCAGCCCTCCGGAACCTGAGGAGGGGAGTATCACAAGGGCAGAGCATCTTGATCTGGCTAAGCAGAGGTTAGATGTTACCCCAAGTTTACTGCAGAGGTTACAAACACCCCAGGTAATGCCTAAGATGGGATGAATCCCATGTGAGCTCCAACAGACCTCATACTCCACACCAAAAATCACACAGAAATTATAAAGTCCCAGTGAAATCTAGTTATAAACTCTGCCTTCTCTCCATCACCCAGCTAGATTGATTGCAAAGACTGTAAGCCTTGCCTGCAGAGTTTATAAAATATAGAACTCCTGTGGCAGGTGACATTATTACAAGCCATCACAGAAGCAGAAACTGCTGCATCAATCATTTGAAATCAATGACGTACATCAAAATCATCACTACCTAGCTCAAAGACAGCGTATTCTGGATTTAGGAATCCCAAGAAGTTTACAAAAAATGATAGACAGGAGAGCACAGCACCTGAAGAAGAAGATGGGCAATGCAGGATGCTGAGGGATGGGGGACAACTGCAGGTAAAGTCAAGTGAGTATAGAGGGGAGGAGGCAGCTGAGCTGGAGAAGTGTAGAAACAGGGTGACCCTGGACAAAATGGCCTGCCTTATGCTACACTCAGAGGCATGAACTGATAATTATCAAAATTTGAGCTACTTGTATTCACTTGAGCAGGGAGTTAGATAAAATCTGAATCTCTTTCCAAGACAGAGATTGAGAAAGTCCAGTCTGTGCCTCTACCTGGAAGCGCATGAAGATGACAAGCTGTACCCATCACTGAAAATGCCGGTGTTAACACATCAGCTGCTGTAGCATGCATGTGGCTTGCTGAGCTGTCTGAGCTTCCCCACAAACTGAAGCTCAGGGGTAGGAGCACCCTCAGCGCTGCAAGGCCCAGCTTGGCAGGTGAGCTGAGCACGTGCTGTCGTGTGCTGAGACCACTGAGCTGAGCTAAAGCAGCCACCGCAGCAGGGCTGCAGAGCTCAGACGTGGTGATGGCCTGGCTCACCACTGCCTGCTCTGGGAAGTAACTACATCTGGAAAGCTGCGGTCATAGCTGGTGGCATGGTCTCTTGGGCTCTCACCCACTCACCCTGCAGGATGTTCCGCTGCTAGCAGGTGGCTTTGTTGTCTCTGCAAGACAGGTACGTATCACCTGCTGATTTGATGAACATGGCAATCGCTTGCCAGGCAGCTTTTAGAGTAAATTAAGCAATACATCCATGTCCAAGAATGGACAGATTGCTCTTGCAGCCTGGGGCTGGATGCATCTTGAGTATGGGCCCAGGCATTGCACCAAAGTGAAGGTGCTGGTGCATACCACAGCACTGAAGGGCTGTGGGACTCGTGTATTTCAGAGAGCACCTTGCCAGCAGAATAAGTGCCACCAGAGGCACCTTCAAGCCCTAAATAGTCCACTTGAAGTAAAGGGACAAGCTGACCAGCCTGCTGACAGCACATCCACCGAGACATGAATAATGGAGACCCTGCTGTCACCATGCAGCTCCTCTGCAGCAAATACAGTGAACTGGGGCGCAGAGAGAAGACACACGGCTGCCCAAGAAGGCGCGTCAAGGATGTCCTGTGAGGGCAGCTGATTGAATACCACTGCCAGGCTATGCCTTTGAAAGTCAGCGGCAAACCACAGCAGAACAGGCACAGGCAGAGCGTCCAAACGGGTACCTTAGAGAGATGTTAATAGAGGAAGCTTGCAGATAAAGCAAAACTGAGGTAATTCCTTCATGCCTCATTAAAAAGCAGTCACAAAAACCTAACAAATTTCACAGGTGCGTCTAAAAATATTTAATCTGCCACTGTATTTTCACTGAGCCTCTCTCCTAATGTAGGAGATAAACATAGATTAAGACTCACATGTCAGTACTGTGCTCAATCACTCATGCAAGTGACCCATAGGTGCCAAATACCAGGCTAATGATGGTCCTCTGAAATTAAGGCAGTACTATTGGTGGCAGGAAGGGCAAGCTTAGGAGCCCAGTTGATGCATCTCTTGCCCCAGCCTATACTCACCCTACAGCTAAGGGGGAGATCTAAGCACCTCCAAAGAGCAATACAAAGCACCTACATGAATCCACCACTTCTCCCCACCTACCTTTTAGGACACCTGACCACTCTGTAGCAGGAAGCAATGCCAACCTCTGCAAAGCACTAGACCCAAACCTGAACCCTCTCCAGGCTTGCTGGGTCTCTCTGTTCCGATGGGATGCTGAGGACTGAGTTGAGACCATTATGTCCAGACACAACAGCTGAGAGGGAGTCAACTCTTGCAACATCTCAGTGGCAGGGCACACTCCTGATGATCCTGCCTTTCAGGGAAGCACTTCAGCCAGCAGCAGGGTGCACCAGCCTGCCTTCAGAGCTGGAGAAGGCCACTGCAGCAGGCGTGGGGCATGCTCCCACATGGTCTATGGTAGCCACAGGGCACCACCTCCTGAGGGGCCAGGTTGTAGGGCCAGGGTCTCAGAGGGTTCCTCCAGGAAGCAGGGACAGGGCATTGGTGAGGTGTGTCACATACCACCCCAGTGCAGTAGCCTGTAAAGAACACTAGCAAGGGCTGTGATAAATAAAACACAAGGGGAGGGGAAAGACAGATTTTTAATTTGGAAGGTCAAGTCTGTCAAGGTGAATGCTGCCAAGCTGCAGCTTAATTATTAACTAGCCTGATTTCTGTTTGTATCAGCATCAGTACCTGCTTTTGAATGCGGATGGCACCCCAGGAATTTGGGTTGACAGGACTCCATGCTGTCAACCCTAATTAAGCCTGATAAGCTCTGGCTATGCCCAGCAAGAACAAGAGCTTGCCAGGACCTTCTGGGCTGCTGCCACCTCCTCCCTGGGAAGGGGAAGGTGGTGAGAGAGGGGACCCCTACACCCCACACCTACTCTAGCATAGAGGTGTGTGCTGCCAGCGAGAGCCAACAACCTATCAATCATCTGGGCTACAGGAGCATGTACACGGTTGCTGTGCTAGGTGCTACATCCAGGTACTCTGCTCCTCATGCTAGGGAGCCCACAAGTTAGAAGAGATGCTATAAGCAGGGGAGACAACAGGTCTGGTAAGATCAAAGGCTGGGTGGGAGGAATGAGAATGAAGTCCACTTTGGGCCAGACTGTAGCAATGGCAACAGCTGACTCTATAGGCTGCCTGCAGGAAGCAAGCAGAGGGTTTTGGTTAAACCACTGTGTCCTCACTTTCTCTGCTTCTTTCAGGGTCACTTCAGACCCTTAGAAGTGGGACAGACGAGGGGGACCAGCAGCCCCCAGTTACGGTCCTGCCACTGCCGGGCAGCACTGGGCACATCCCTGCCGCGCTCACTGCTCAGCTCTCTCAACAGCACCATGACTTAGACCTGCAGCGCCACCCAGGGACTTGTTCTGCAGCTGTGCAAAGTGCTTTCAGACCAACACATCACAGGCAGTTTCTTGGGCTGGAAATGCTGTAAGCAGATGCCCTCCTCCAGGGGAATGGGGAGCACTGAGCAGCATTCCCACATCATACATTGCTCCTGAAGATTACTTACTACATGGGTGGTTGCCCGCTCAACCTCCTTCAGACCAGGGGGATCAAATTGGAACTGGACATTTTATGTGGCCTCCTGGACACATCATATATCAAAGTTAGATAAAGCCCATTTCCATGGGTAATGTGGCCACTGCACCTTTTCAGCTGAAAAAGGCAATAGAAAATCCCTGTAACACCATCAAAGAGGTAGATACCCATCACATAGGCAATGCTGCAAGACTACCAGCCACGGACCAGTTTGTATTCCCTGTCGCTTGATAAATAAATTGGATTAAAACCAGCAATGTATTCATTGAAGATTGCTATGAGAGCTATTTCACACCCCTTGATCTCCATCCATTTCTAGAGAGGGCATGTATCTGCATGAAGGTCATCCCTTCTGGGGACTGAGCTGTTAGGAAGAAATTAAAACAACAATTAAAATGGGATCTTCTGTTGCTGCTCAATAAAATATAATCCTGGCTAAACAAAGTAAACAGTGAGCATGAATGAGTTCCTCTCTCAGAGCACTGTCAAGCCATCAGTCACAACTGGAGAAGTCTGCTGGCTAAAAGACACTGTGGCTTTTGAGGTTAGCATATGGATATGCCCTTTACTGAACACATGCGCATGCACAAGCACCGCGAGCTTGGCCTGCTTTCTAAAAAGGGAAGAATCTGCTTACTTAGCCCTGAAAGCTATTTTGGAGGCATGATACATCCAGTAAACATGCCCCAGCATCCTTAAAGCTAACTGGGAAATGCTGCACATTCATGAGAAGGAGGCTAAGGCACAGGGCTAGGAACTGTGCGTTATTACACCACTGGCTCTGCCTTGAAATTGCTGTTGACATAACCGTCCCCAACAGGCCAGTCAACTGGCGTCACTGCTCCCCAGCCTTTCCCACTGTGGACCCAGCAGTTTTAATGCATAAATAAAGAAACATATTTAGAAATATTTTCTTTGATTTGTGTGAATACATGGAAATGGGAGTAGAGCAGCAACTACCATTTAGATAATTCCTCATCACTTTAAAGATGTAGACTTCCTGAGCCCAAGAACTTGCAAGAAAAGGCTCTCCTCAAATTTTCAGTGCCTTGCAAAGGCTGGAAAAACCACCAGAGCAGCTCGTTCACTGCTGGCAATAGCAGTGAACCAACTGGAGCAGCTATGCACTTTGGTATCAAATATTTTCCCGTATAAAGAATATACAGAGAGATCATTGCCAGTGCCAGAACAAAAGGTTATGCATCAGAGAACTTAAAAAAACCCCAAACAGGTTTAACTCTCAAGTCACCCCACAGCCATCCCATCCCATACCACTGTGGTTCTCTGCAGCCCCAGCAGCAGGTACTGGACACTTGGTCAAGCAAGGCTTTCAAAAGCTTTGCACAGCCTTGCAAGTCTGGCTTGGAGAGCCTGTTTGGAAGAAGCAAATACTGAGCTGAACCTGTGCCAAAGGCTCTCCCCTGCCCAGTTACTTTGCCTTGTGTGAAATGCACAGTCCTATTTCCCCAGGGAGAACTCTGCAAGGCACGGGTGCAGAGCCAGGCTCTCCCATTTACCTCCAGCTAAGGGCTTCTGGGACAAGAGAGGCATTTTCACTTGGGCTTATCCACTGGTGCACCCCAGGGCTTCTGCTAGGAGATGGAGCCACTGCAGTGACCTGGGCCCTAGCCACTTCTGGCCCTGTGGGGGCTGCTGAAGAGGTGCCATGGGAGGGTGAATGCCCCAGGGCTGCAGAGGAGAGCCAGGGCACCCAGCATCCCCAGGATCACAGTCCTGGGAAAAGGCACACCGCCTGGGAAAAGCTGTGGGAGCGAGGGGACGAGAAGTGGGACCAACAGATGATGCAGGGTTTTTTTTACAAAGAAAGATTCCTGTGTGCCTGTGTAATCTAAATCTAACATGACACAGACTAAACGAGGACATCACTTCTCTCCCCACTGATTAGCTGTGATTGCTGCTGAGTGACACTCGCTCCAGCACGTGCCTCTGTGGCGAGCAGGACTCTGCTCACCGGCTGGCTGCTGGCTTGAAGCAGGCACCGGGGCCAAGCACCATGAGCTTAAACTTCAGGCCAAGCACACACCTTATGAAGAGAGGGAATGCCAGAGAAACCCAGCAAGGAGGGCACCCCAGGGACCCTCCTCCCAGACAGAGGGGAAGCTTTTCTTTATTAACTGGAAAGTCCATAGCTGGTGACCAAGTTCTCCAATAACAGCTGACAAAAGCAATCAGGCTGGATCACAACAGATGGAGGAAAGCTATGTTATTGTAATAGAAATTATTTGATTCCTGGGGTTCTGATCAAATTAGGCAGCTACTGAATTAAAGCAATGAAATTACTGGGAAGGAGGCTGTGCTCAACTTATCTCCAGTCCTCCCAGGCCTGAAGAAGTAACAAAGGAAAATGTCCACAGCTCCAATAAGTTCTCTGTAAACACCCTAAGCTGGTATTTGGGGAGCTGGGGATTTCTGCCTGCCACTAGCAATTTCCTAATTAGCCCAATATCCAGTGGGCTCAGGCCATCTCCTGCACAGCAGATTCAGCATCCTCCAAAAAGGAGCAGAGACTGAAGCTAGGGTGGCAGATGCTGTTCCTTTGATTTGCAGCACAGCTCAGGCACGATGAACACTTTGGGTTCCAGCTCTGTTTGCAAACCTGTCAGATTCGAACTCCTCTCTGCACCCTGCTGCATGCCCTTATCTTTTGACAAACGTTCCTTTAGTGCAAATTCAACTGTAATCATATCTGGAATCGAAGGAATAAGAAAAATACAGGAGCTGTACATTGCACTGCAGTGGGATCAAGGGAGACCGGCGTAATGGGGATTTCAGGCAAGGGGAGACTCTGTATTAATACATGTAAAATCTTGCCACAGGGAGAGATGAAGAGTGCAGAACCAGAGCTGAGGGTGAGGAGGGAAATGGTGCTGGTGTTTATCATGCCCTGGCAGCGCTGCCCTGTCAGTGGTCACATTCCTGGGACCCCCATGGACGGGAGTTGGGGAGCACATGGGTTCATGCATTGAGGGGTGATGCATGGCCTAATCCTCCATGGGAAGGGGACACCTGCACAGCACTGCACCCTTGCCCACCCCAGGCAACACCATCCTGCACCCGTGCAGAAAAGCACAACCCAAGCCCCAGAGCTGCCTAAAGAGGGGGTTAAGTCATGGCCCCAGACCAGCCAGAGCTCCATGCTCTGCTTTGCAACCCTGGCTGGGTCACTTCCCAAAACCACAGGGAAGAATCTGGAATATGGGAAATGATCTTAGATGTCAATCTATCACTGTCATGTTCTTAACGCATTGCTCTTAACTAGTTCCTGCTGGACACAAATACCATGAGCTGGGGTTGTCTACAACACAGCAAACACAAACACGGGGGCTGATCAAAGGGGACAAAACCAGAGCCAGAGCAGGCAGAGGAAAGGAGAGAAAGCACTTACCTTGGGTGAGCAGCAAGGCTGTAGGGAGAGAAAAAAATAAGATAGGGAGAGAGAACAACAGAGGGAGTAAGTTAATATGCAAGGGGAAAAAGCTGTTTTGCAAATGATGGCTGTCAGTGAACAATGGACGTGGTGCAAGGCAGCGTGCTAGCTTTCTGGTGCTGCATGTTGGGCACAGGCTGGGGAGCAGACGCTGCAGCAGTGAGATGGGGAGGAGGCTGGCAAGCACCAGGGTGCTGGCTCCCCAAAGTCACATACACCCCCCAAATGAAGGCAGAGGGATGGGATGCAGGTGGGAATTAGCAAGGAGAGGAAAGGAAGAAGGGGAGGGGAGTGGTTACGCTTGCCATCAAGGCCTGACACAACCCAAATTGACCCGAAGGCATAGAGCTGGCCCTGGCTCAGCCAGGAGTACGTGGTTGTGGTGGGGCTTGGCACAGCTGAGGAGCCCTGGTAAACCAGAGAATGGCTGAAAAAGAGAGGCCAGGGGTGATGGGCAGCTCACTGCGAAGACCATCATCAGAGGGAGGTGTTGATAAAATGAATGCTGGCCTCCAGCGTGGAACAGGACATTCCCCGGGATGCCCTAGATCACCTATCCCTATCCCACACACACAGGTACCAGTCCCAGAGGGTCAGGGGGAATACAGGTGCTCATAAAGTGCCACCGTCTTGAGTCCTCCTGGCTCCCTTTGTTCCCAATTGCTGGCCTGCCCGACAGTGCTGCACAGGCACCTGCCATGCAATCGTCATCACAGCAGGATGCCACTGCTGCCTAGAAGATGTGACCACATGGTCCTGTGAGATTAGGGAGGAAGGAAGGAGAAGGGGCAAAGGTCCTTGCACAGGATGGACCTTACCCTGAATTTCCACACAGGCACAGTCCAGCCCTCTAGCTGCCTTATGCAGTGACCTCCTGGCCCTCCGCTGCCTTGATTTCTCCACTCTCCAGAGCTGTCACAAAAAAACAATGGGCTGGATCCCTCTGAGGCATTACCCATAGAAAGGCACAGCCTGTATGCCAGTTTCAAACCAACTACAGGAGAGTCTCTAGAGGAAAAAGCACCAAACTTCTTTGAGAGGCACCAGCTCTGTGCCTTAGTTCTGACTTCCCCTGTCTTTCAAACAGCAAACCAGTCCCCAAAGACTTGGCTGCATGAGATGACCATCTTGTAATTACTAACACTTACTATCATGCACTTCTAGCCTCAGAAGCTTAAAACTCTGTACAAAGACTGAGTCAGTATTAAGAGCCCCATCTGACAGATAGTAAAGCAAGCAAAGAGAGGCTAAAGGGAACATTTTGCAAACTCAGAAATGGGCTGGAGTCCAAAAGTGCTAATTTTCCCGGACTTGCCAGTTCAGGCCTCTGAAAAGCAGGTGCTTTTATACAGATGCACCTAATTGTATCTGTGCTGTTTGAAAGTGGTTTCTTAAGCAATTTTTCAAAGGTTGCACAGCACATCAGCAGCAGAGCTGAGGAAAATAATCCCGACTTCCCTGCTCCATTGGGCAGCATCCAGGGGCACAGATTTCCTGACAGCCTGTGCAAAAGCATTGACCCTGTCAAGATCTTCATCCATCTATCCACCTCCCCACCTGGAAAGCTTGTGGGCAATCTGGGAAGCCTCCCTTGTACATGCAGGCAGATGGAGGTGCGGTGACACCGGATGGAGGGACAATGAAGAGGCCCCTTGATGAGTATCCCTTCTATTTCAGGGTCAATTCCTTTGGCCAGTCAAAAACTTTTGGGAGAACCATTCATGGATATGTTCTGCAGCACGTACAGTGCCACAGAGCCATAAGAAGCAATAGGATGTTTGCTCTTTCCATATCACCTTCTGTTCTGCACACAGTTCTGCCTGGAAGTCTCCTACAGGTTTGTCACTTCCCCTTGTGGCATGAGTCTCCTTGTAGCTCTGTCCTGCTGCAGCTCCATGCTGTCTTGTGGCCTTCTTACTATTCTGTGGTATTCTGGTTCTCCAGACAATGTGGGGAAATTTAATTTGCCTTTTGCAATTACAAGCATTAGTCCAATGGGTCGATTTGGTGTTCAAATTTAATATAATGAAATATTACTGGGCCCCTAAGCTACTGTGGTTATTAAAAAAAAAAAATAAAATAAATCATTGGTTCCTCATGTTTTTTAAAACTGTTATTCTAGTGCTCTGGGATTTGATTTTATTTTTTCCTCCATTTGCTTTTGAGCCTGAAAAAGAACTATTTTTCTCACTTTCACTTATGCTACATGAATATTTGAAGAAGCCTATAAAGCTATGAATGAAACATCAAGAATATAGCATGCAGAAAGCCAAGGGATTATTTTATCTTTATATTTCTGAGTGAATGCTGTGCATGCAAGCAAGAAAATGATTTTGCAGACTAAAGCTTCCTTCCTGCACATGCATCTGCTGAACATTACAGCTCTGACCTGTAATGTTTCCTGTAGTCTATCTCAGGACGCTGTACCTGTACCAGCCCTGCTGACAGCTCCCATGCTGTTCCCATCCCACAAGTCTCCCTCCATTTCCCCCCAGCCTGGGCTGCACCCCTCCATCCCTCCCCAGGGCACCTCTCCTCCTCCTGCACTCCTGCTCCTCATGTCACACTCCTCTTGGGGATAAACCAGGCCACCTCATTGCTGTTGGCATCTCAGGTAGTCCCAAAGGCTTGACATGCGTATTCTTACAGGGAGCTGCTAAAATTAGTTCCACAGTCAAATCCAAAATAGCAGTTCCAAGTATCCCTTACCTAATCTTTGCATGACATGAATGCAGACAAACCTGCATGCCCACAGACAAGGTAGATGGCACTGACTCTCTCAGAAGACCCAAAGCCTTCAGCTCTGGATCTGAGTTTCACCCTTTACTGGGATTTCTCTACCCTGCAGGCCTGGTTTTCACCAGGCGAAGTCAAAACTGTGTACATGAACTCTGCTTCCCCTGCCATCCCTGGAACTGGAGAATTTAGACCTGAACTTAGCTACCGAAAAGCTGTTTACTAATAAACTATTTCATCTTCTTGTTTTCAGTGTACTTTGGGGTCATATCCTGCTTTGACACCCATGTTGGTATGTGTTACAGATAAGGGGTTGAATTCCCTCCTGCTTTAACTCCACCAAAACCAAAAAAAGTTAAACCAAGAGGAACCAGGCTTGGGATGGGAGCATAGCAGACACTGAGCAATCCTATAGTTTACAGCAACCCAATGTGCTAAGTGTGTGTCCCAGCCTTTTTCTAAACAGTGGAATTCCTTTTTTTCTGCTGTTTACCTTGCAGAGAGATTTGACCATGCTGCATGCTTTATTCTGGATTCATTCTTCATTAACATAAATCTTTTCTAATCATTATCCCTAAAGGCTCCAGGAAGCCACTGGGTAGATAAATGGATCCTTATTAAAGGCCTGCGATTTACAGAGTGAGGCTGAAATGAGGGAGAGGAGGCTGGATTTTGAGGAGACCCTCAGTCACACAGCAGGGCAGCCACAGGCAGCCAAAGGCAAAGAGAACACATTGCCTGCACTTTGTGCACACCCAAAGGAGCTTAGTGACCAAGTAAACTGCAGCCTCAGTTCCCCAGAGAGGTAAGGTTCCCGCATCTTCTGGGTGTAACTGTCCACAGGCTCTGCCTCCACTCACTGAGGTGAGCAAACTGTTTCCCTTATGGACAGTGAAGAGCCATAAACATTGTTTTTATAGGCTAAACAACATAGAGGTTTTGCAGCATTAACCTTAATGCAGTTATTGCAGACTCCAAGAGACTCTTCTCCATAAGAAGAATCAGCAGAGTTCAGCTTAATCACAAAGCTGTAAGCAAATTACTAAGCCTTCGGGAAGGAGGTAACAGCAATCCAACATTTCTTTGCTATTCTCATCAGCAGCTGATGGAAGAAGGAAAATGCTAAGAAGCATCTGCCCACACTTCAGAAAACTGCAGCACATGCCCATGTATCAATGCTACTTATCTTTTACAGGCACTGACCTTTGTACCAATTCACATCATTCCATCAATATTTGTTACAGATAACTTGCTGGATCAATCCAATCTAGGAATCCTTCTTCCTTTGCAGTTTAATCCTCACTCTGTGACTCTCAGCCACGTCCTTCCTCTGGAGCACAGTGCTTTCCCATCAGGGGTGCTGACACTTGATTAAAAGGAGCTGTGCTCCAAGATTTGTCCAGAGCAGTTGACTCTGCAATTGAAGGGCTGAGAGGACTTCCGACAAAATCTTCCCAAGCCAGGTCATGCCAGCAAGCTGTTCAATAGTGCTCACCAGCCATCTGTGCTCCAGTTTCCAGTGAAGTCATATGTTGTGGGAAACATGCCTTCTGAAGCAAAACTTTGCATGAAGTATGTCAGTCCCATTTACAAAGCGTAACTCTCAAGACTCAGCCTTCATGCACCAGCTCTGAGGTTGAATTGTCCACTGCTGTGCCATGAACTGAATTCTTATGAGCAGATGCCCAATTACCCTCATGAAACATAGCTTTCCAAATTTTTACCATTATCTGAAATCAAGTTAAATTTTCCAAAGTAGACCTACTTGCCATTCAGACTTCATCAACACTAAGGTTAATCCCAGTTTAAGCAGCAGACTGAATTTACCGAGGTAAAGCAAAGCAAATTTTCTCCTGTAGTCCAGGACTGAGGACGAAGTGTGAGAGCTGATGTGTGAAGAAAGCATGTCTCAAAAATCCTGCTGGGCTGACAGCAGCAAAATCCTCGTTCTGAGCTGTGAGCTGACACAATACCAAAGCTGCCATGAGAGCAAGAGTCAAACCAACAGACAGCGTCTTGTCATAAAGGAAAAGACTTGTTTCACTTCAGGAACGCTTCTAAAAGATGATGAAAAGAGGATGGCTAGGAAGGTGGCTCAGGGTGCTGGAACGTTTCAAAGCCCTTCAGTGCTCAGTAGACAGGGATTCAGTTTATGTGACCGCACATATGGAGGAAGGGTGAGACAAGAAGGATTCAGAAAGTAATTTCTTAGAAATGGAGAAGACAGAAACATCAGTAAA